GGGGTGTGGAGGGGGGGGGTTTCATGCACTGTAGGACTGGATTGTATTCAATCTTGGTATGCTTATATGCTGTATCTGAACATAAATGACAGCTGGCATTGTTGGCCTGGGTTTTATTATAACCTGCACGAGTTCTTTATACAGCCTAGTGTTCTTAAAACTGCAATTTATAAAAGCACACCATTTTGTAGGTATTGTTTGACGTCGTTCCAAGCATAAAGTATCAAGATGCAATTGCATTGATTAGCATGCAACCTATCGCTTCAACTGCGGAAGCCTGGAGGAGGTTAGTTCGATCAAAATATATGTAGTTGTCTTGTGAATAAGCTACTTTAAATCGGTTTAGTCTCTTCATCTCTTGGCTGGATGGTATGTGTTTGTAGGTGGAAAACTGGTCCTCTCTCTTCTTTATCTTTTTCTATCGACAAGTAGTCACTTTTGGTAACTTGAGCAGTATAGTGTTGTAGTGTCCCCCCCAAAAAAAGAGTATTTGTTAGCGTGTGAATTCTTGTATCTTTTTGTTGATTTTGTTGGTATATTGCTTTGTCTTCTATTAAAGCTGGTTTGCCTTTGGCTTATGCTGGCAGGCCTGTGGAATCTTTTTGAAGTTTATTCTAACATTTGTGAAATTTTAGAATCTTTTTCTCGGAAAAGACCTTATTCTCTTTTGATGTCTTCTTACATATCAGGATGCAAGATATTGAACTGATGCATATGCGTTATGCATTGGAGTCTACTGTTCTAGCATTAGGTGCAACAGAGGAGGCCATGAAAAATGAAAGTGATGCTAGTCATCGAGTTGTATTTCACCATTTAAAAGACCTCACTAACCATTTGGAGGCCATTAAAAATGTTCCACGCAAGGTAATATATCTATAGGCATGTTTATGGGCTGCAAGAGAACAGTCATTCCATCTTCTTTTGTGTGGCTAAAACATGTTGACGTATGCATCATGCCACATGAGATCTGTTTGTAACATTGGTAAATATTAGTGTGGCTTCTCTCATTCGTAAGGTTTAATCTTCATTTTAAAGTTTGCATCTCTTTGTAACATGAGATCACTTGCTTATGCAGATTTTGATGGTGAACATAATTATTTCACTTTTACATATTGATGACATCCCTCTCAGTTCTACTCTATGTGGCTCGTCAGAATGCTTTTCTGAATCAATTGCTACATCTGCATTGGATGAAGCTGATGATACAACAGGAGAAGGGGGGAAGAAAATTGTTATATCATTCACAGAACAGCTGCTTGATGTATTACGTCGTAATCTTCCGTCAAATGTAATTGAACAAGAGTGTCAACTGAATGGTGATTTCAGTGCTGACGGAAGACAAGCTTTAGAGTGGAGAGCAACCACTGCTAGGCGTTTTATTGAAGATTGTGAGTGGCGGTTATCTATTATGCAACATCTTCTACCGTTTTCTGAACGCCAGTGGGGCGTGAAGGAGGTGTTGAGTGTTCTAAGGGCAGCCCCTACGAAATTGCTTAACCTGTGAGTGTTGGTTCCTTCTCACGTTTGATGTTTCATGTTATCAACAAAAAGTGTGGCCTGCCTTTTATTTTTGTCCCGTGTTCAAGTCTGCTATCCTAGTGAATTTTTCTGCAAGCTGATGTGATCTTGGTCTTCAACGATGTTCTGAAAGAGAGAATGAACACCGATTAAACATACTTTGAAAGATTGATTCTAATTTTCCTTTTTCATAAGATTTGACATTTTCAGAATTAGTTTAACATTTAGCTTCAGCTGGGACATGTTTGGCGATAGGATTTACCAAAAAACTTAGTGGTTTGAACTTTTTGTTCTCCTTGAGGAAGGTCTGTTGGTGAAGTTGCCTTCCTGGTAAAACCTGAGCTGCTGTCTGTATTGTTTCCCACTGTGAAATGTTGATAGAACAGGTGTTCTGGCGTGCTGATAAAAATGATCTACAAGTTAAATTTTTCTGCTGAGTGAAACAATGTTTTGTATATCATAATTTGTTTGCTTTTTTCCTGTCAAGAACTCCCCCAGTTGGAACTCAATGCTCCAAGGTTACATGTTGCCTTTTCTCGCAATTCGTTAAGGTAGTGATGTTCTTTTCACTCTGCAGCTGCATCCAAAGAGCTAAATATGACATTGGAGAGGAGGCAGTTCATCGGCTTGCTTTATCGGCAGAGGACAAAGCTACCCTTGAGTTGGCTGAATGGGTGGATAATGCCTTCAAAAAAACTTCGGTATCTTTCACATTTCACAATATTCTCTTATAGTCCTACCTTATTTTTCACCTTAAATGTTTATTCTATCTTGATAAATAGGATTACATTTTTCTATTATGAGACTTCTGTCTCTCGCCGTTGAGAACTTCCAGTCACAACCATGATTAAGGGATTGTTATGTTGAATGTCTTACTTACCTTTTTACTGTACATCAAGAGGGACACATCTTGTAGTGTGACTGTATAGTTGTTCACAGGATGAATTCTTCGGTCGTGTAGATCAATTATAGCTTTGTTCGAATTCATCTGTTACTATTTTATGTTTTTCTTTTTTTTTGAATTGGTCCATGAATCTAAGAAATAGTGAGAATTCTGTGGAGCTTAATTACATGTATAGCTTTTGTTTTTTATTCTTTCCAGGTAGAAAATGTGATGTCTCGTGCTGCTGATGGAACATCTGCACTACAAGAACTAGATTTTTGTTCTCTATCTTCTCAATTAAGTCCATTGGCTGTGGTAAGTTCTTGTAGTTCCAATCCATGTCTTGGTATACCGTTTCATCACCACATTCTTACAGCAATAAATTTTCGATCAATTGCCATGTCTACCTCTAAGTAATTTGAAGCTTCTTCTTCTCATGCTAGATTCTACTTTGCATAGATGTTGCCACATCCTCTGCCAAGTCTGCAAAAATTTCCCAACAACTTCTGGATCAGGCAAGCATTCTCAGCATTTCCTTTTATTTTAACTTGATTTATAGTTACCCATTCTTCTTCTAGTTTTACTTGGTCTCAGTTCATATTTTCTGTCTTTTATATTTCTTTTGATACTCTTCAGACTCTTCTATTTATTCATGTTTTCTGCAAGTATAAGTCTGATGGAGTTGAGACGCAAGAAAGAATGAAAAAGTGAGTGAAGTAGGGTCTGGAAGTTTGGTTCACTGGAACACCCTTATATATTTGTGTTCCTAGTTTTGTTATACCCCGTAATACTTTTTTTTGATCATGCAAGCAAACTTGGAGGCAAATCTGGCCCTTTTATTTTCATGAACATTGTTAAACAAGGTTGACTTTTAAAATGAAAGCTGTTTCAATCCAACAGTGTTGAAAACCTTTCCTGTTTTATTGACTTTATAAGTTCGAGAAAGTGTAACGACTATTCTTCCTAAAAAGTGTTTTACTTGTATTGTGCAGTCTCAAATTATGTTGTCAGAAATCTATCCCGGAGGTTCTCCAAAGGCGGGTTTTACTTACTGGGATCAGGTCCATGAAGTAGCGATTATCTCTGTGTCACGACGGGTCCTTAAATGTCTCCATGAGTTTCTAGAACATGTAAGTCTTCGATTGCCTTAAAAGAGTCCTAGGCTGCAAGTAATTTAGTATGATATTTTTTTTTACCTGGTTAGATGGTACAACTTTCGTTTTAGGCTTCCATTTCTCTCATGTCTGCCGGAGAGCGGGGAGGATAAACGCATTACAACTGTTAGAGTTCTAGCTTCTGGAAGTAATACGGGTTGAGAAAATATAGTTTGACAAAGGAATAGCAGTGCTGATCATGCTTTTCGTTCCATATGTGGATTGTGGAAGGATATTTAGGATATACGTGTTCCTTGTGTTCTTAATTTGAAATTGTACACAAACAATCTTGTAAATATTTTTTTTTGCACTGTTTGTGGATAGATTTCAATGAAATTTAGTTCTCATTTCTGTTTTATCATGTTTGCTTGCCCTTTTGACTATTGATTCTCCTAAACTATGACTCACCAGGATAACCCTCCGGTTCTTCAAGCCGTTTTTAGTGGGGATACCATCATTTCGTCTTGCATGGAGTCACATAGACCTGGACAAAAAGATCGTGCTCTAGCATTGCTGCAGCAAATGATCGATGATGCTCACAAGGGCAAGCGACAGTTCCTGAGTGGTATTTTCTCCAGTCTTCCTCTTCTCGCTCTCTTTGCAGCTCTTCTGGAATATAATGGTGTTATCTGTTTGTGCTTTTACATTTTTCAGACCCTTTGTGTTTGTTCTGATTGGTCATTCATGTAAAACCGTAGGTAAACTTCATAACCTTGCGAGAGCTATTGCTGATGAAAAAACAGAAGTAGACATACTCAAAGGGGAAGGATCCAATGCTGTCATTGATAAGGATAGAGTTCTTGGTCTCGGGTTAAAATCTATGAAGCAGAGTTCATCTGGTTCAGCGACTAGATATGTGGATGGGCATCCAGGTACTCATGAAGCAGAAGACAAGGGGAAGAGGTTGTTTGGTCCATTAAGCAACAAACTGTCTACTTATCTATCACAGTTCATCCTTCATATAGCTGCTATAGGCGACATAGTAGATGGGACTGATTCAACTCATGATTTCAACTTTTTCTCCCTTGTTTATGAGTGGCCTAAAGATGTAAGATTTCTCAACTTTTCGTGCTCTGGATTTCTGCCATTAAGACCTCTTTTCTAGACTATACTACGTGGTCTAATAAACCTTGTTTTAATTTAAAACATCCAGATTGGCCTCCTTTTGCTTCAGCCTCTGCAAACTCTAGTATCTTTGGTGCATAAAAATCTGTTCGACTTATGTGTTGTCCCCTTAAGATTCTTGGTATTTTGTGTGGAACTATTAGACTTCGTATTGGAATGGTTAAAACATAATTGGCGACCTGTGAAGCCAATATTTTTTTCTTTTTATTATGTGGAATGCATCTAGAGGTTAACCTCTTTTTTTTGTTGACTGTTGCAGCTACTGACTCGTCTGGTATTTGATCGAAGTAGCACAGATGCAGCTGCAAAAGTTGCTGAGGTGATGTCTGTAGATTTTGTCCATGAAGTTATATCTGCTTGTGTTCCACCGGTTTATCCTCCACGGTCTGGCCATGGATGGGCCTGTATTCCTGTCACTCCAACAACTCCTTATTCTCCTTCAGAGAGTAAAGTTCTCTCTCCTTCAAAAGAGGTTAAACCCAATTGCTATGTTCGTTCCTCAGCAACACCTGGGGTCCCGCTGTACCCCCTCCAATTGGATATTATCAGACATCTGGTCAAAATATCCCCAGTACGTGCAGTTTTGGCATCTGTATTCGGTAGCAGTGTATTGTACAATGGTAGTGATTCTGTCATATCCAATTCTATGAATGATGAATTTCTAAGCCCTCCTGATGCAGATAGGTTGTTTTATGAGTTTGCTCTTGATCAGTCTGAGAGGTACTGTCAAGCCAAAGAATTTTTCTCCTCATCAACGCTAGTACCAACTAAGTAGATATTTGTTCTCATCTTTGTTGTGTTTTTGGCTTACCCAGGTTTCCCACTTTAAACCGATGGATTCAAATGCAGACCAATCTCCATCGAGTTTCTGAATTTGTTGTGACAGCTACACAGAAAAACGACGACGCACGGATTAAACCTGATGAAAGACCAGCAATAAAGAGGCTTCTCGAAAATGATAGTGACTCAGAGTCAGAAGCAGATGATTTTTCTCCTAGCAATAGCTCTCAACCAGCAATGACAGACAGTGCTCAAGATGGTGGTGGACTCTTTGACACTGGAATGGATAGAAGTGATCCTACAGTTTTTCTTTCTTTTGATTGGGAAAATGAAGTGCCCTATGAGAAAGCTGTAGACAGGTATCTTTCTTCGTTATCTTTGATCAATTTTTCATGTCTTGGATTTTTCTTTTGGTTCATTTGACACATGACAAGTCTTCAGACTTTTTGCTGGTTTGAGATTCGGTTTGAGTCTATTAGTACTTGAATGCTTTTTGCATCACATCCATTGGTTGGTTTTTATGCTAGATTGATAGATGAAGGGAAACTAATGGATGCTTTAGCAATTTCTGATCGTTTCTTGCGGAATGGAGCTTCTGATCGGTTGCTGCAGCTCCTAATTGAGCATGGAGAAGAAAATCATTCCATTTTAGGACAATCTCAGGGATATGGAGGGCATAATATCTGGAGCGAGAGTTGGCAATATTGCCTGCGGCTTAAGGATAAGCAACGAGCAGCAACACTTGCTCTCACGTAAGTAAATTTATGCTTTATACAATAGTGTTGGTTGCAATAATTATCCATCTGGCTGCAGTTGTGTTGAGGGCTGATATTTGTTTAAGCATTTTTGTTTGGTTCTCAGAAGATTAATGTAGTGAAAGATGACTCTTTTAATGCTAAAATACAGCCAATTGGTTTGAAACTTTTAATTTCTTCTGACTGGGTAGTGATTAATGATGGTAAACCTTCCGGTTGGATTGAATGGTAACCAGCTCAGTTGATCCAACCGTAGCGCTTCTCAGCTTACCTGGTGATATCTCAAGAAAATTGATAAAAGAGATTAAACTTTAGATGAGGAAATAACAGAATCAGTCGCTTTAAGTTCTCTACTACAAGTTTCTGTGCGTATGACCATGTGAGTTATGTGGAAAATTAGCTTCAGTGAGTTACCTGTTATAATAAACTTCATATGTCATAGCGGTAGGGTCATGTGGCTGCAAGATAGATGAACGTTCAGTAGATGAAGTTAGGATTTAACATATGAACTTGAAAATGTTGTGCTTTTCTTCTTAAGCTTTTAGGATATTTGAAGACTCGGGTAATTAGATTAACAGGATAAGAGTGAGATGCATCAGATAAAGACAGCATTTGCTTTTGTTGGTTTTGTGTGTAGTATTAGTCATTGATATATTCTTACTTCCGAGGATTACACTATTGGTCTAATCTGTTGTGCTTCATCGGAAAGTTGCGGAATATTGGCTCTCGAAAGTGTATAAACCATAAACTCCAGTTTTATTTTGCCAACTTAAGGTCTTGTGATGCCTGGTTATCCTATATATGTTTTATTGGCAGATTTCTTGTAAGTTGTCCATGCTAAGTTATTCGGTCTTTTGTTTTTTAAACTTTTTCAAGCCAAATAGTATTATGGCGTGGCATGTAAGTGCCAAACAAACTTGTAAAGTGGACCTTATGCTTACATTAGTTGAGACTCAGTAAAGAAACTCTCGTCTTTCTGTGTAGTATATTCTGCCATGTGGTATGTTCTGAATTTATCGTACAGGTTTTTAAGTCCAGTAAACCATGGTTTCAGGTATATGCACAGGTGGGAGCTTGATGCAGCTTTAAACGTTCTTACCATGTGTAGTTGTCATCTTTCTGAAAGTGATCCAACTAGGCATGAGGTAGTATAAGTGTGGTTTGCTTTATGCTCTGGATAATTGCTTGTTAGAAAGCCCGATTAATGGAAACCTGAATATACTCTCTTTGACTTCTTTGTGCATCTAGGTGTTGCAAAGGAGAAAAGCTCTGCAGAAGTACAGCCACATATTAAGTGCAGATGATCACCATAGCAGCTGGCAAGAGGTGACGTTTCTCCCATTTGTTTGAGATTAATGTTGATTCTAACTTGGTTTTCTTAAGTCGGTGTTACTTAAAGATGCAAAAGATCTTGAATGGAAACAGGTGGAAGCAGAATGTAAAGAAGATCCTGAAGGGTTAGCTCTTAGGTTGGCTGGGAAAGGAGCTGTTTCTGCTGCTCTAGAAGTAGCCGAAAGTGCAGGATTATCAATAGATCTTAGAAGAGAATTACAAGGACGGCAGCTTGTAAAGCTTCTGACCACTGATCCTCTCAATGGTGGTGGTCCTGCTGAAGCTTCCCGATTTCTTTCTTCGTTACAAGATTCGGCTGATGCCCTGCCTGTGGTTATCGGTGCAATGCAGTTATTACCTGACCTATATTCGAAGCAGCTTCTCGTAATAACTCGTTTACCATGTTTGCTATGGTGTCGCTAGGTCATTTTCCTCCCTAAGTTTTAGCATCACGTTTGTCTCATCTTCTCTGTAGGTGCACTTCTTCCTGAAGCGAAGAGACAACAATCTATCAGATTTGGAAGTTTCTCGGCTTAATTCCTGGGCTTTAGGTCTGAAAGTGTTAGCTGCATTGCCACTTCCTTGGCAACAGAGATGTTCTTCGCTTCATGAGCATCCCCATTTAATATTAGAAGTTCTGCTGATGAGGAAGCAATTACAATATGCTTCACAGGTTAAGTACATCAGATTGCATCTTTTTAAATTCATGTTCTGCTGCATATCTTCCCCATTCTTGTGAAAGATGCTTCCGTGGCCCTCGTTGATGTCTGGGATACCTTTAACTAGCTACTCATTCATTCTACCTTTTTTTCGTAACCTTTTTTTTTAATCTATTGACTTCCTGAGGTAAACCTTTATGTTTCCTTCAGATACTCAAAGAATTTCCAGCATTGAGAGATAATAATGTAATCATGGCTTATGCTGCAAAGGCAATATCTGTCACAATTAGCCCACCCTTAAGAGAACATCGGATATCTGTGTCGGGATCAAGACTAAGACAGAAACCAAGAGCAGGGCCTACTGTAAAGTCATCCTTCACGAGTAGCTTAAGCAACTTGCAGAAAGAGGCTCGAAGAGCATTTTCTTGGGCTCCACGTAATACTGAAAATAGGACTGCTCCCAAGGATGTTTATCGCAAAAGAAAAAATTCTGGACTGGCAGCGCCTGAAAGAGCTGCATGGGAGGCGATGACAGGAATTCAAGAGGATCGTGTCTCATCATATTCTCTAGATGGGCAAGATAGGCTACCTTCTGTCTCCATTGCTGAGGAATGGATGCTAAGTGGTGATACAAGTAAGGATGAAGCTGTTCGTGCATCTCATAAATATGAAAGCACCCCGGATATTATTCTCTTCAAGGTAATGCTAGTCTTCCACCTCTGGCTCTGGCATCTAGCTGTCATCACCGAACTATAGTTGTAAGTGTCAGTCAGTGAAACTGTTGTTGGATAGCTGAATACGACTGCTTAGAAGAAACTTCTCTGTCTTTCTGTAGGCTTTGCTCTCGCTGTGTTCAGATGAGTTGGTATCAGCAAAAGGTGCATTGGAGTTATGTACTAACCAAATGAAGAACGTGTTAAGCTCCAAGCAGTTGCCCGAGAGCGCATCTGTGGAAACAATTGGCCGAGCATATCATGCCACTGAAACATTTGTGCAGGTACGGCATGATTTATCTGAAGGCTTTTGTTTAATGTAAATATTTGGAAGGTTTAATTTTCATGGTCTCTGTCATTTGTTATTTATATTAGCCTGATGTGGTGAAGGTTCATCCCTTATTAGTCTGCATGCCTACTGAAACTATCTTTTTCTGTTTGTGCAGGGCTTATCTTATGCTAAAACATTGCTGAGAAAGCTTGTTGGTGCCACTGACTCGGCCAGTAACTACACTGAAAGAAGTAGAGATGTTGATGATGTATCTTCTGATGCTGGCAGCTCTAGTGTTGGCAGTCAATCGATGGATGAACCATCAGAAGTCCTTTCACAAGCCGATGTTTGGCTAGGGCGTGCAGAATTGCTGCAGAGTCTCTTAGGGTCAGGAATCGCTGCTTCTCTTGATGACATTGCTGATAAAGAGTCGTCTGCTCGTTTGAGAGACAGATTAATTTCTGATGAACGGTATAGCATGGCAGTGTACATGTGCAAAAAGTGCAAGGTAACGACCATAGCTGGAATGCTCTAACTTTTGTCTATGCTGTTTCATTTGGAATAACTTGTGTTTGTTGACATGATTTGTCTCAGATTGATGTTTTTCCTGTCTGGAAAGAATGGGGTCTTGCTTTGTTAAGGATGGAACGATATGCTCAAGCTCGTGTAAAGTTCAAGTATGTGACCAGTTTAAAAGCTGTGGCGACTAACTTGAACCCAACGTTCTTCTTTTTCTCAATCTTAGCTCATTTGCAATGATCTCGTTCTTATCTGGTGGTCTGCAGGCAAGCCTTTCAATTAATAAAGGGTGAGGGAGTTCCTGAAGTCATTCAGGAGATAATAAATACACTCGAAGGAGGCCCACCCGTGGATGTGTCAGCTGTGCGTTCCATGTAAGCATACTTTATGTCTTCTTCTAACCCTTAGTTTATGATTTATATTGATATCACAATCTAATATGAAATATAAGCAAGATTACCTAAAGCTCGAGAAGCTGTTTTCTTGCTCTTAACACGGAAGCAGAGCCTCGTTATCGAGAGTGAAGAGCAGTTGCAGTCTGATTATTTCTGTTGAGTTTACGTATAAATTGTCTCTTACCTTTATTTCCCAGGTGTCTGTCCTGTAAGAGACGCCCAACTAACCAATCTTGTTGCAGTTACTGTTCCATTTGGTATAAAAGAAGGACAAAAGACATGGATGTATAATAGATGTTAAGAGCCAGGAAAAGATAAATGGACTTTAACATGGAAAGGTGCTCTATTAATTGATTGACCTACATTAGGCTAAGTTTTTGGGATAGGTGGTGGCCAGCAGCATATTTTACCTCAAAAGAACCTTTGATATTAGTGAACTCCTGTCACATGCTAATGAAGTAAATCTTTGCTGATACTGCTGGTATGGACATGGGTCAGCTTTTCTTTGTCTGAATGCATACAGCTCCTCGAGCTTGAGAGAGCTAGCTTCTAATGAAAGCTTCACGAAGACAAAAAAATAGGAATGAAGTATATCCGCAGTATGGGATGTATTTAAACAAAGGGGTATTTGAAGTATTTTAAAGAAGTTAAACGTGCTTAAGTCTTATGAATTCTAATCCATAAAGAATGGAAAAGATGATCATGATGAAAGGCAAGTGAAAGGAAAAAAAAAAATGTGAGAAAAACGCTATAGTAATCTGCTATCTAATCTTGCTATTTGGTTGTTTGTTAAATGACAGGTATGATCATTTGGCTAAGAGTGCACCAACAATTTTGGACGATTCTCTATCTGCAGACTCATATCTTAATGTTCTGCATATGCCATCTACTTTCCCGCGTTCTGAGAGGTCCCGGAGATCTCAGGAATTGGAAAAGGGTAATCCTTTGTCTGGATCAGAATTCGAAGATGGGCCCCGGAGCAACTTGGATAGTACTCGCTACTCTGAGTGTGTCAATTATTTGCAAGAAGTAAGTCAAAATTATTCTAGTGCTTTCTTGACTGCTTTTGGGAAGTTTGCTCTCCTGGCATCACGTCACTGTATGATTGCTTTCTTTTACAAACTCATGCCTTTGACAGACCTCATGTCTTCAAATTTGTGATGACTTTTGCATTAAACTAATGCAGAATTTGCAAAATTATGTTTTGCAAGTTTTGGTCATTGATTTTGGTTCTTGTGATTCTGCAGCATGCTCGCCAGAATTTGCTTGGTTTTATGTTTAGAAATGGACACTATAAGGATGCATGCATGTTATTCTTTCCTCCTAATGCTGTTCCTCCACCTACTCAACCTTCATCCATGGGCTCAGTGAGCTCATCTTCATCACCTCAAAGACCAGATCCGTTGGCAACTGAGTATGGGACCGTTGAAAGTTTATGCGAGTTTTGTGTCGGTTATGATGCTATTTCAGCCCTTGAGGAAGTAACTACAGAAAGAATTGCATCTTCAAAGCAACATGATCAAGCAGTTAATCAGTACATAGCTGCAGCTCTGACACGCATCTGTACTTTCTTTGAGGCCCACCGCCATTTCAATTACCTATACAAGTTTCTGGTGAGCACATCCTTTTTTTTATTGGTCTTCACCTCCAACTTTATTGGCGTTGGACTATTTCCACCTGAAATATTTCATTCAAACTTTCACCTCTGTTATTTTGTTTATCTACTACCTGTGGATACGTTCTTCTATTTTCTTTTTTCTTTTTTTTTTTATGACTTTCTTCTGCGTGCATAGTTTCTTCCTTAGTAGATTTATCCTCATTGGAAGAGGCATGTTCGTGTGAATTGTTGGGGCAACCAAATTTATTTTATCTTCTCGCCCCTGTGCACCACATCCCTTGCAGCCTGATGGAAGTAAAAGAAATCCAAATAGTACTTTTTGTTACCTCTGATCTTGCAGGAAAGGTGAACCTTCTATAAATGGACTTTTCCCAAGGACCTAAGCTTAAGCTTGAAATTAGTTTAAGACTGATGATTCGGGCTTTATAATGCCCAATACCATACTCTTTACTGAATTGTTTCTCTTGTTTCAGTCCTAGTTCTGGGTTGTCAATCATGATCTCATTTAAGTAGTCTTTCCCTGTCTCGAAAGAGGGAGTAAATAGTTCATAAAATTGTATGCAACCACTGGAAAACTACTATTTCTGGAATTAATGTGAGAACTAATATAATTCACTTGCTTTTTTCAATTGTCCAGGTAATCAAGAAGGATCATGTCACTGCAGGGCTCTGTTGTATTCAGCTTTTCATGAATTCTTCCACACAGGAGGAAGCTGTTAAACATCTAGAGCATGCAATGGTAAAAATTCGGTTGTTATCCTTCTTAATTGGGTTTGCCACAGCATATCCGACTCGAGATATCTATCTTACAATGTTCAACAATGACTGAATCCAAAAGACTCTAATCTCATGATCAGTTTTCACTTTTTTTTTCTCAAAAGGCTTCAATTACTCGGTTTGGAAAGTTAGCATTATAAGGTGATTTAGAATCAATTTAGACTCAGAGAGACCAGATATTGTTAGGATTGTGGCAGGATATAACACAAATTTAGGAGTGAGGAATATTTAAATGCTGCTTCTTTATCCTCACTGTTTTGGTTGCTAAATGCCATGCAATTTTCTGAACTGGAGCAACACTGGAAGATGTTTAAATAGCATCAAGGCAAGTTACTTGTTGCTTATGGACTAAAAAGATTACAATTGAAATTCTGTGCTGGTTGGAAATATTCCCGGATGTAATGTTTGCAAAACGTGAATGTAGACACGCTAGTGTTGAACAGACTATGATAATCCATATGTTACTTGTTTCTCACCTTTATTATTTTGGTTTATTTGTCTCTAACTGGCTTCTGGATATAGGCGCACTTTGATGATGCATTGACAGCACGGCATAGGGGTTCAAATTCGACAAAGCTTGTGACAAAGAGTGTTAGAGGGAAAAGTGCCTCTGAGAAGCTGAGTGAGGAAGGTCTTGTTAAGCTATCTTCTCGGGTAAAAATGCAGGTAATTCTGGATATCTTTCCTGTTCATTCTTTTGATGAATTGTCAAAGACCTTATTTCCTCATAGAAAGTGGGTCTTGTAAGTTTTAAAGTCCACACTTCAGGATTTCAATTTTTTTTTGCAGATTGATGTGGTGAAGTCCTTCAGTGACTCAGAAGGAGCACCGTGGAAGCATTCTCTGTTTGGAAACCCAAATGATCCGGAGACATCCAGGTTTGTCTCTAATCGCAAGCACTTTAGTCGAAGAAACAGAGATGATGGAAGCAAAATTTAGGGGCAGCATAACAGATAAGATAGGAGAGGATTTGACAGCGTCTTTTTTCCCCCCTAATATAGCGAGGTTTTCTCTTTGCATCTCTAAATCTGATCCCAGCTTTGGTATAGCGGCTGGCTGTGTTTCCTTAGCAAGATGATTGAACACTGGAATTTTCCCCATATCTTAAAAGCTGCGCCTCAACTCTATAAACATAAGTTTTTAATACTAAAAGACCATACCTGTGAATCATATTTGCTTAACCGGAAATTTTAAGTAATGAATTCAATACTTCTTGGTTCTTGTCTTTCAGGAGAAGATGTGAGATCGTGGAGACCCTCGTCGAGAAAAACTTTGACTTGGCTTTCCAGGTTATCTATGAATTTAATCTCTCAGGTGACGTTCCTTGTAAACCACATCGATCAGTATCTGTCAAATGTTGTTGCATATGGTATCTGACTATTCCTTTCATACTATTCAGCTGTTGATATATATGCTGGTGTCGCTGCTTCACTAGCTGAAAGGAAGAAAGGCAGTCAGTTGACAGAACTTTTCAAAAACATTAAGGGGACAATCAATGATGATGACTGGGACCAGGTAATGCGATTAAAATGTCACAATCTTAGTTGTTGTAGGAAAGATCATGATCCAATATAAACCCAATTCCTGGGCTCAGAAATTTTATTCGACTATTGACAAGAGCATCTCCTGCAAGCTATATCACTTCCTTATCAATCCTGGGTTTGAGTTGATAGCATATATGGGCGCTCATGAACTATATATATTGCTTTTGAAACTTGCATTTTGAGATTCATTTTGGCAAAGCTTTCAGATACATGGAATGGCTTACGAAATTTTTGTGAAATGTTGCAGGTCCTGGGTGCTGCAATCAATGTATATGCCAACAAGCACAAAGAGCGGCCTGACCGTCTCATTGACATGTTAAAGAGCTGCCATAGGTAAGACCTGTTTCAGTTAAAATGCATAAGATCTGAATGTTTTTTAACCATGTTTTCTATCTTCTATCATAATTCCTCATGCTTCGACCTACCTGAACCCTGTGGATTTTCCTCCATGAACTAATATCATCATAACCTCTTAATTTTTTGTCTGTACACCCCATGATAAATAAAATATTTTTAATTTGTTTAGTCCGTGTTTGTTTGCTGTTGATACACATTTGCACTCACACATAATCACTATATACAACAACAACATGGCCTCATTCCCAAGTTACATAATCACTATATATAATTGGTAAATCTCATTAATAGATTTTGTTTCAAGCTGGACATGCAATCTTCCATCATTTTCGGCTCATGTATGTATGGTTTTTAAAACCCTTGCAGAAAGGTGCTGGCTTGTGTAGTGTGTGGACGCCTAAAAAGCGCTTTCCAGATCGCGTCGAGAAGCGGAAGTGTGGCTGATGTTCAATACGTAGCTCATCAAGCCCTACACGCCAATTCACTCACTGTTCTCGACATGTGCAAGCAATGGCTCTCCCAGAACATGTAAAAGCTCATCTCTCGAGAGAAGACAGACCTCGGCGTTATATCTCTCTCTTCCTCCGACTGGGTTTCTAGTCATTTAGCTGCCTCGTTGCCTTACCAATGTGAGAGAAAAGCCTACAAGTTAAAGTTCGGGTGTGCAATCCTCTCTCTCTCTCTCTGTGTAACCGAGCTCGCTTATTTTAACAGAGCTCTGGGGCAATATTGGCTTTGTATATTTACTGACAGAGAAGAAGGGAAGAGACACAGTTATGGATGGTATTTGGTGTTTTCCATCTTACATTTTGTTGGGTTCATATCAAACGGTCCGTGTGAGAGTTCAAAGAGAAACGAAGGATGGCTTTGTTTGTACTGTCATGTTGTTTGTTGATTCTTTGGTTGCTGCATTGAAATTGGGTCTTCTAAACCCCCCTATAACATTTTTTGTGAATAATATATATATGTATGTATGTGTATGTATGTATATGTATGTGTGTGTGTATGTATGCATGCATGTGTATGTATGTATGTATGTATGTATGTATGTATGTATGTATGTATGTATGTATGTATGTATGTATGTGTGTGTGTGTGTATGTGTGTATGTATGTATGTATGTATGTATGTATGTATGTATGTATGTATGTATGTATGTATGTGTGTGTGTGTGTGTGTATGTGTGTATGTATGTATGTATGTATGTATGTATGTGTGTGTGTATGTGTGTGTGTATGTGTGTGCGTGTATGTATGTATGTGTGTGTGTGTATGTATGTGCGTGTATGTATGTATGTATGTATGTATGTATGTATGTATGTATGTATGTATGTATGTATGTATGTATGTATGTATGTATGTAATAGATAAAAATTTACGTGTGATTATATACATAGATAAAAATTTACGTGTGATTCTGTTTAAGAAAAATTCACCGTCCATGTGGTGACGTCATATGATACTTTATCTCGTATAAATATTCCAACCTCAACTCCCTCCTCGAAGCCTCTCTTGAATGTGAAAATGTATTCAGATACAAATTTTGGCAAATCGTATAAAACTCTTCATAATTTTTTTTCCAAATTAATATGACCTATCGAATAACAAATTTCCAAGTAAAAATATGTTAGAAATACTCGGAGCAAAAATCATACAAAAAGAATAAGTGTGGCATCACCATCGCCATTGTTGTGATTATTTGTATGGATTAGTTTTTTATAAAATACAGTTTCAACTCCAATATTTAAATAATTACTCTCTATATATAAGCTTATCTTGTCCATCTCAACTTGTACATAAATTCAGCATCACACGTAGTGTACTTATTAAATTATTTATTAGTCAATGGTTTGCACTCTTACGACTTTAACATTTGCAATGTATATAGGTCGATTCAGGCTGAAGATAATATATATATATTAACCATTTCAATTTAGATACAATAAATTAAATCATATATCATTAGATCATCTTCGAATTGGTTATCCCACGTCTCATTAATTCATCAAAATCATTTAATTATATATTCCTTTAAATTTTGCTTGTTTTCCATCTAAATCTCTCTTGATTCAACCAATTCTTACATATATATATAGAGAGAGAGAGAATAGGTAGGGTTTATTACCAAAATAAGTTTTTAATGTAAAAAATAGTTTTTTTATTCTATTATATTTGAATGAAAGAAATTATAAAGTAGATCTTTGTTAGATAATTTCCTTTTTTATATAAAATATTATTCAAATGTACTTTAAAATTTTGCCTTTTTCAGATTATTTTCATAAATTTTCCTAATACGTGACTCAATAAATGCGGGGTGTATATATATATATACACATATATGTGTTTGTATATATATATGATTGAATAATGATGAAAAAAGTCAAACATAGCTCCGTGGCAATGTTCTTTCAACCCTCCCACATGAAACAGAGGAACGGAAGCTGACGAGAGAGAGAGAGAGAGGGAAGAGAAGAAGGATGTCGTCGACGACGGAAGCAAGATCGCCGTTACCGTTACTGTTCCGTCGAAGGTCGAGCAAAGACGTTAAGAATTTGGCGTCGATATCGAGCAGTCTGTTGCCGGCGTTTGGCACCGTCATCGAGGAAGGTCAACTCTCTACCAAGAAATTCATCATCGTCCCTTACGATCGTCGATACAGGTTCCAATCATTTTTATTATTTTGGAAGAGATTGGAAAATTTCGTGTATAAAATCCAAATCTAGTGTGTTTTTTTGTTTGGTAAAAATATAAATTATTTATTTATTTGGATATTCATTTTCAGAATTTGCATAAAATTGGACTACATATATTTCTTTCTCCAATAAGTACACATCCAAACAAAAATGTTAAATTTTTGAAATTTTGTCTTTTTTGGTTGCTAACAATCCAATTTTTCTTTCTTACTGAGATTTCTTTCATTATTACCAAAACATTATTAAAAATAATAAAAAAAACAGTTACCCCTAAGAATTAGAATGTATTTTTCCTAATAATTTTGTATATCAATTATTATGATACAATAAATTATCAAATATTAAATAAAAATATTTATTTTTATGGGCTGGTTTGTATTTTTTGTCATGGGAATACGAACCCATGAATTTTTCGTTTACGGGCTGGTTTATATTACCAATTCCCATGAGCAAACCAAGCTTAGGAATTTTTTACTTGCCAAGATAGAAATAGATATAAAATTTTGAATTAGAAAATATAGATGTGGATATCCGGAAAAAAAATCTGATTTGAATTATATTTATAAATTAAAATCATCCATAAAGATATCATTAATATATTTTAAAAATTGTAAAACATATTTCTGATTTTTTTAAAATTATGAAAATATTCAAAAAGATTCTTGTTTTTATAAAAAAAATTTATTATCTTTAAATATTTTTCATATATTTTCAGATGTTTTTTTCCAAAAGATTCGGTAAAGATTCTTGTTTTGGTATGGTAATAGAAGTTAATTGTATTTTATGAGTTTGAGGTTGTATTAGTTTTCGCTGTTGAATACTACGAGGGCGATGATAGTCGATCCCGGCAGTGGTGTATAACCGTTTTGCAGATTTTTTAAGTCTTTGATTTACGATGGAATTTTTGTAACGAAAAATATATGTTTGATATGAATATTTAAGTTAAAATCTTAAAATCGTCTAATTTTATACCTGTTACAACGTATAAAATTGCGGCGGAGAATTAAAAAATATGAAGAGTTTGAATTCGTTTAGAGTTCAAATATATATTTTTTTTATAATCAGGATGGTTCCTCGGGTTTTTGGCCCGACTACATCCATCCTAGAATGGAGACCAGTCTTTGTATAGGTACCATTTTAGTCCAGAAATTACATCACTCCCCACCAGTAGAATCGAACGCACGACCTTGAAAATGACTTTGTCACCTCCCAGCCATTGGGCCACCAACTGTTGGATTCGTTTAGAGTTCAAATATTATTATGTTTCTTATTTTGATTTGAGTATATCATTCCTTAATATAATTAGAATAAGAATTAGGAATTCTAATTAGATGAAACCATGTTGTATATTTAAATTTATTGAATTAAAAAATTCAAATTCACATATTCTTAAAATTTGTGCACACCCTACCGATGTAACTCATAAATAATCCATGACACATCACGTGAAACCGGTCTTGGAAAAATCAATTAGCTAATTAATTAAGGTAAACCATGTGGGATTAATTAGCCAAAAGCAAAAGAAAAGAAAATGATTAATTTTTTATTTTTATAAAAAAAATGAAGGATATGGCAGACGTTCCTGGTGATACTGGTGGGGTACACGGCGTGGGCGGCTCCGTTCGAGCTGGCGTTCAAGAGAGCAGCGGAAGGGGCATTATTGACCGTCGATCTCATCGTTGACTTTTTCTTCGCCGTCGATATCGTCCTCACCTTCTTCGTCTGCTACTTGGACAAGTCCACTTACCTCTTGGTCGACGACCGCAAGTCCATCGCCAAACGGTCCGTCTTTTTCCATAATTTCATTTCATTGACGAGGAATAGTACCAATCGTAAAACGCGAAACGCAAACGCTGCATGCATGCATGCAGGTACGTGATGAGCGCGTTCTTCGTGATGGACGTGGCCTCGACGTTGCCGTTTCAGTTCTTGTACAAAGTGTTCACCGGAGGCATCGGTAAAGGCCAAGCCTTTGTCTTCCTCAACTTGCTCCGCCTCTGGCGTCTCCGTCGCGTGGCCGAGCTCTTCAAAAGGTCCTTATATACATACACACACACACACATATATATATATATACACACACACGTCGCTGTAATATGTAAATTAATTCTTTGTTACAGACTTGAGAAAGACACACAGTTCAACTACTTCATCACCAGACTCATCAAACTCCTCTGCGTAAGCTCCCTTCCAAGAACATATATATGATCCCATACAAGATATATATATGACATTACATATATATATATATAATCTATGAAACATGAACTGTAGCAGGATACCATACAGAATCAACATTAATATTAGAAAACCCGTACGAAATTCATAATATCGTACTATTGGAAATGTTTTCATCAGGTGACGGTGTTTTCGGTTCACTCAGCGGGGTGCATCTTGTTCTGGTTAGCGTACCATTACCCTAAACCGACCGAGACGTGGATAGGAGTTCAGGTGCCTGAGTTCAAAGAGAAAAGCATATGGTTAGGCTACACGTATTCGATGTATTGGTCCATCGTCACCCTCACCACCGTCGGGTATGGCGATCTGCACGCGGTTAACACCAGAGAGAAGCTCTTCAACATGTTCTACATGCTTTTCAACATCGGCCTCACCGCTTATATCATCGGTAACATGACCAATCTTGTCGTCCACAGCGCCATCCGCACCTTCTCCATGGTAATCATCACCCTCTTTCTCTTCTCCCCTCTGCCATGAATCCCTTCAAATGAAGAAGAGGGTTTCTCTGTTTTGCTCAGGATTGGTGATTTAGCATGTGTAACCTAGTAGGTTAAGAACTGGATAACTTCATTACATCAAGATTAGTATGCAGACAGAACTCAAACGTTGCATAACATCCACTGGTTAGCGGTGTGATACTTTAGTTTCCTTGCGACCCAAGAAACCGGTTTCTGTCTCTGTGTTTCAAAGATCTCTGTCATCTTCTTTCTCAAAACTTCCAACTGATCAACATCGGTTGCCAAACAGAGGAATGCGATTAACCATATACTGAGATACACGAGCAAGAACAGATTGCCGGAGAGCATGAGGGAGCAGATGCTTGCCCACATGCAACTGAAGTTCAAAACAGCGGAACTGAAACAAGAAGAAGTGCTTCAGGATCTTCCCAAGGCAATCAGATCAAGCATCAACCAGCATCTTTTCCGTTCCACCGTCGAAAACGCCTATCTCTTCAAAGGAGTTCCCGATGGCCTCATCGTCCAGTTGGTATACTACCGTACATATATAAATGATTCAGATGATACTTTTTTGGGTCATGAACGTGATTTTTGTGCAGGTTTCGAATATGAAAGCCGAGTATTTCCCGCCGAAAGTCGATATAATCTTGAAAAACGAGATCCCTGCAGATTTCTACATCCTCGTATCAGGAAGTGTGGTAATAATACGTCTTCGTCTTGTTTCGATGCCTCTTTAATGAACCTGAAACCGAAACTGATCGACTCAAATTGCAGGAAATAATTGCTCCAAAGGGTATGAACGAGCAGGTAAGATCGATCACGTCCACGTACGCTTGGTGTTCTTAATTAAGAACACGAACTGAAAACTGAACACAAGTGGTGTTGGAAACAGGTCTTGTCAAAATTAGGGCCAGGAGAAATGGCGGGAGAGATCGGTGTGATGTTCAACATTCACCAGCCCTTCACTGTCAGAACCAGGAGGCTGTCGCAGGTCATTCGGATCGGTCATCATCAGTTCAAGGATTTGGTCCAATCCGACGTGGACGACGCCAAGATCATCATCACCAACTTCATGAACGTAAAATGATTTTCCAACTTACTTTCACAACTAGAGTATCATAATAATCGTATATATATATATATATATATATATATATATATCGTATTTAACATAGGTTTTTTAGGTACTGACTCTATATATTGCCATTACATATATTCCAGTGATAATTAACCAAAAAAAACCCTAGGTTGAATCTCATATATATATACAATTATTGCAATACCCTTTATAATATCAATGGTTTTTTCTTTCTTTCCTTTTTTTTTTTGGCAGCATCTGAAAGATCTGAACGAGGATATGAAGAAAGAAATCCCATTTCTCAGCGATTTATTAGACAACCATGGAGTCGAGGTAAAAGGGCATATATATGCATATATAGAGATATACATACACACACTAACGCAAGATTCAAGATTTAAGCCAAAGTGTTTTCTTGATTTCCTTTAGCGACAGGTACAGAACGAGGAATCAGAGGCTACTGAGCAAGGAGATGCTACAGGAGGCCAAGACGCAAGCAGTAAGAACACGCATCTGCATATATGCCACCCAAAAAAAAAACCCCGAATTTGTCATCGTTTTCGAGAGGAAAATGTGACCCGAAAACGTGGTTTCTGCGACATTTTAATGGCAGGAAATATGCAAAACTCTGCATCCATGGTGAGGGTGATCATGCATGGGCATCATCCTAGTGAAGGCGAGGGTACAAGCAATGATTCAAATGGGAAACTAATCAATTTGCCTGACTCCATCCATGCTCTATTGGACATTGCAGGTCGGTTTTTTCTTCTCTCTTTCTTTTTTTAAATTTCTTTGGGAAAATCAATTATTCATACCCGAATTTGTAAAAAATAAAACTTAAATAAATATATTAACTTTAAAATTCTCAAAAAAAAAAAGTACACGAATTTTTCTTCATTTCTATATTAGAACTTTTGAATAATTTCCAAAAATCACCATATATATTATGATGGAATTTGGGAATAGTTTAAAAGTTTATAGTTTAATTTTATGGAGTTTTTCGGAAATCATTTGAAAGTTATGGTTTATTTTCATTGTTTTAAAAAATTTAAGAGTTTACAGAGATCATATATTTTATTTAAGAATTTTAATGTACGATTTCTCAAAATCAAAGGGACATTGTTAGAGATATAGACGAATAACTCACAGATATAGTTTTTATAAAAACCAAAACTTAACCTAAAATCAAAACCTCGAGCCCTAATTGTAACGAGCATGTATATGTAATTGTGGTTACGGAGAGATTTGAATTCTGAATGCAGAGAAGAAGTTCGGGAGACGAGGGAGCAATGTGGTCATGGAAGATGGCGGGAGAGTCGAAGAACTTGACGCTCTGAGAGACAATGATCATTTGTACATCTTTTGAAATCCTATTCACTTTTTTTGGGTGACGTGGATTTAATTTGTGGTGATTATCTATATAATTACCGTACGCGAGCCCGATAATTACAAAAGTAAACTCTATAATCAAGAATGCGAAAAATATATAATTTTAAAAAACATTACCTGTTGTATTTCTATTACATTCATCTAATTCTCTTTTTATTTTTTTAGATCATTTGTGCCGATGCTAGTTTTTGTCCCATTGGTTGACTAAATAGTATTCAGAGGTATTAGAATAGTTTGGTTTGGTTTGATTTGGTTTATTTTGGTTTAGTTTAGTTAGGGTTTATTAGGGTGTTTTCTCCTATTGTATTTAAAGATCATTACGTTATTTAGATCAATAAACAGTATAGAGAACGTTTTTTCGTTCTTCAACATCTCTTCTTCTTACTATTTGTACCAATGGGACAAAAACTAGCATTGGCACAAATGATTTAAAAAAAAGGAAAAAAATTCTAAAAATTCCTGAAATTGTAATTTTTAGTAATATTAATTTCTAAACGTATAAACGTGCTTTGCAAAATTGAACACGTTAAATTGTGAACTTGTTAAACAGTTTTATAATCGTCCATAGTATTATTTGGTCAAAAAAACGAGTTGACCGATACGACGTGGTATGTGACGTGACGAGTCAACTCAGAAAATTACCGCCACGTCACGCGCCACGTCGGATCGGTCAACTCATTTTTTTACTAAATAACGCTATGAACGATTATGAAACCGTTTAACAAGTTCAGGATTTAACGTGTTCAATTTTGTAAGTTTGGAAATTAATAGACACTTCTACAAGTTTAGAAATTAATATTACTCCAAATTACAAGTTCAAATTTTTTTTAGAGGCTTTTCCCTATTTAAAATCATAAATTGAGAATGCAATTTAAAAATCTTCCTAAATCATTAATCAAAATTAGAAATCTCGAATATTTTAATATTCAAAGGTATCTGTTTTAATTTCATTTTTAAAATTTTTTATAAAATATTTTAAAAAGATTAATACTATATATATTTCGTTAATGAGATCTTAGACGTCTTATTGATAATAAAATAGGTTTTAAACACAGAAAATATACTACGAATTGTAATAAATTCCTCCCAGTCTATCAAATTTTCAATATACATACATTAAATCGAATAATTAGAAAACAATTATTATTAAAAATTACTATTCTTGAATTATATGAATTAGTGATATAAATTATTCGTTTATGAAAGAAATGACTTTTAGACTAACATACTGATTAATACAATTATTACGAATTTATATATAATAGGAATATTAGTGTAGTAAATGTTATAAAAATTTTAAATCTACACCGTTACGAAATAATCTACAGCGAGGGTGTTGTGGCCGTGGACACCTGACACGTGAGGAACACGTGTGTGACCATGGGACCCACTAAGCACTAATCTGTCTCATAACGCATTACGATACACATGAACAGTAACCGTCGATGATCGAGTTACCTTTTCTTCTCCACCGTTGGATCTGCCCAATCAACTGAGATCAGAGACAATGACACGTGTCGGTCCTGCTCTCCCCAGACACTGTAAAAAAAGCTGTTTCACGCAAAACGACAAAATAAAGTGCCTAAAAGTGCACAAAAGGCCTCAAAGACGCAAGCGAGGAGAATGATGGCGTATGGGGTCAGAGCCTAATGGACACGTGGCGATCAGAAGGGGTCTAACGGTAGTTCATCACTGCCGTTACGTGGACGTTTAGGTCACGGGCCTTTTTCACTGTTGAGACGTTTAACGCCGTTTGTCGTACTTGACTAATGTTAACAAGCAATTAATTAATTAATTACTTAAAAGTGATTGGCGATTATTTTGTCGTGCCGGTTATGGAATAATATATCATCCTTTTTCTTGTAATTGAATATATATATATCATTATTTTTGTATTGTTTTGTACTTCAAATACATTACAGAATATGTGCTAAATATATATTATGTATTGTATAATTAGATTATAATCACTGCCAAATTGTATTATTTTAAAAAAAGGTCCTAGATACATTGAATTGGTTGGTCGACCATTTATGAAATGACAAGTACTCAAAACAACGACATGACACCTAATTTGGTATGTATCATTATAATCGACTAATAATTTAAATTTGCATATACAAATACGCTGAAAAAAAATATTAAATTATAAGACTATCACAAAAGACTTCGGTTTAGAACCGGTTTGGACAAAATTAAAACGAGATTGAGTAATTAGATTAATACAAGAAGTGGAATGTTGTGTTTTGGCGATTTAGCACAAAGAATAAGTGAAATGGTGGGTTTTGGAATTATTAACAAAAGAGTTATTTGAATATGAGATTAAATATCAAAATAACATTTTCGTTATTTTTTCTTATGGTTTTTTTAGCTTTAGAGTTTTGTATTGTGCATAGATGTTGTCAAATATCCACATGGGTGTGATTATTGATTGTTACATCGACCATAAAAATACGTGAAAAAAACTAGTATATTTTTATGTTATGTTGTATACATATTTTTAGATATTTATATAATATATTAGAAAGAATTGTATATATTATTCGATTATAAATAAAATGGCCTAGGACACTTTTCACAATAAAAGAAAATAGAAACATAGGATAAAGGTATTTCATCGTATATATTTGGTCATTACGAATGAAACTTTACAAGATCCGTGACCGGTTCCCCGCGTCTACCGTTCTCCTAACCAAACACGTAAACTTTTGCCGTTCCATACAATAAAATTAATAAAAGAAAAAAAAAATACTATATTAATACATGTAAAAAATATCAAATAAATATACAAATTTAAATTTTCCAAATACATAGAAATTCTTTCTAACTCATATATTAAATTATAAACTTTTAAATGATTATCAAATACTTTCATTAAATTAAATCCTATACTTTTAAACTACTACCAAAATACCATTATGATGTGGTAGTTTTTGGAACTATTTAAATTTTCAGATTTTAATGAAGAATTTAAATCCACTAGTTGGTGATCCACTGGTTGAGTGATAAAGTCATTTTGAGATATGTAGAATTTTAAAAAGGTTTATATTTTTTTGGAAATTTTAAAATTTGTATATTTATTTTAGATTTTTTAATAATTTCATGTATTAATATGTGATTTTTCCTTTGTAAAATAAATATAAATCAACTCGAAAATTTCTCCAAAGTCTAAAGTCTCCACCTTTTTTTTTTTCAACACGCTCCTTTTTGCTTTCCACCATTTTAGCTTTTACTGTTTTTTTTTTCACAATAGTATATGATTGATTAGATTGCAAATATTCTAATGCCAGTTAAAATTTTTTATGGGTATTTACAATTAAAATCAAGAATGGATTGGTAGTACTGTAACGATATTCAACAAATGAAAAAGATTAGTAGTAATATTTTCTTTAATCTTTTGATATTATTTTATAATAATGTCCCATTTTAAATAAATTTTATAAAAAGTGTTCCAACATGTAGATGATTTGTTAAATAGATAAAAATGGAAGGTGGGCTAGTGATGCTTTTTCTATTCCACCCTATAATCATTTTCATATGAATATTGTATTATCTTTTATATGCATTATAATAATTTACACCGATATTATGAAATTATAAACTTTTTGAATGTGTAAAAATGGATAAAAACTGAAAAAAATAAATATATGAATTGTATCTTTAGGAAGATATAGTAATATATACATATATGAATTGTGGTAAATTGTAGACAAATTATTAATATTATGTCATTTTAAACAAAAGGGAAGAATATATATATATATGCATACTATTAATTACCATATTAAAATATGAATTAAACATACGCATTTTTTACGATTCTCGATTAAAATATGAATTTTACAAAGATTTCTAGAAAAATTGTACGATATTTGGTGTTTTTGTTTAACGTGCAATTTTTGTAAAAATTTAAGATCATCCTTGTAAAAAAATTTATATATATTTTAGTTTTTGCAAAATTTATCATTTTAATTAGGGATTACAAAATTTCTAAGCATTTTTGTGAAAATTTTAGAATTGGTGAGATTATTCTAAACTAAATTGCAATTTATTCCTAGAATGTGATGAAAAATTTGGTAAACCATAAGGTGTAGCTATCATTTATCTAAAGTAGAATTGTTGTATATTTTCATCTGGAAAAATATAATAATTTGGTAAACAGTAATATAACTCGTGACATTTTACCCAATATAAATATATCACAATTCACAATGTTACAGCGGAATGTAATAAATTATTCGAGTGGGTATAGACTGGAAAATATTTATTAGGCATTTAATTGATTGCATTTACACACTTCTGTATTAAATTATTTTAATTTAAATGCATTTTTTTATTAAAGTAATATTGATTTGTTATTAATTTATCAGGATTTTTTTTAAGAAAATGAGCAATAGGAGTGACCATTTTATTTTCGATATAATAAAACACATTCGAGAAGCTAACTAAATATAGATTTGATATAAAAACATACAACTTTTAGAATACCGAAAATAGAATTTTCCATTTGATTTATTTTTCTAAAGAGGTGAGGTTTTGATTTTATTTAGAAAAATAGTCTAATAATAATATGCTTTTAGTGGAATAGTGTTCCTCTGACACAGCAATCAATATCTTTGATGTGACGCAAGTAAGGAATATTTTTTTAATGTAAAAAATATATTTTAAAATAAAAAAGAATCATCTCTAATAATTAAAAAAGATCGTTTTAAAAAAGATTTAGCGATTTATTAAAGATTGATTATCTATTCTATCATACCTTTACGTAATCTTCGGTTTCTCGACCAGTGATTTTATTTTATAATTTTTCTTCAATCCTTAGGTCAGTAATTTTGTTATTAATACCAATATCCTTAATATTATAATTTTTATTTATTTTTAATTAAAGAGCGTATGAGACCGTCCTCTCTATATACGGCCAAAATTCTACGGAGAGAGGGAGAGAGGAAGAAAGCGAAGCATTTGAGAGAGAGAGAGAGTTCTTCGTCTCCGGAGTCAGGTTTACGAAGCAAGAGAAGGACCCGATCCTGGTAAAATTTCCCCTCTCTTCTTCATCTGTCTTCACACATTCTATCGTTTCTCCGATTACTTGCCGTAGAATTCAACAGCTACTGCGATCGATTCAACACTGAGTGAGATTAACTCACCCTACCAGATGCTATTTTTCCTTTTTTTTTCCCTCTCTTTTTTGTCGGTATGTATTTTTCTCTTAATCTTAGGATGGAAATGCGATTTCTCGTCGTTCTGAGATCTGCTCTTTCTCAATCGAGTTTCATTTTGTTCTTTCGTTGTTGAGAATTCGAAGTCCTGTTCTTGCGGTTTTGAATTTTCTGGGTACTAGAAGGGTATAACAAAAACAAGCTTATACGATTTTTTTTCCTGGAGTTCTGCGATTTTTCTTAGCTATTCTAGAAGCTCGTAATTATTTTGATTATTGTTATTTTTGTTATGAAATTAATATTTTTCTTTTGGAAATTTTTTCCATGATTTCTTTGTTTTTTTTTAAAAACTAATATGTTGGATAAGAGTAACTATTAATCCGAAATGCTCGGTGCTTATGGAATATACTTATCCGATGCTAATATATCGGCATATTCTATGACTATATATGCTTCTATGAATCCTGTTTATATGCTCGAGTTGTTACTAACAGATTAAAGAAGAAGAAGAAGAAGAAGAAGAAGAAGAAGAAGAAGAAGAAGAAGAAGTGGTTGGGGTCATAATGCTGAGGACAAGAACTCGGTCTCATAACAAAGATCAAGCAATGTCTCAGTTTCAGTTCCTTGATCCTCAATCTGATCCTCTTAGGCACAGCTCTCCCAAAACCATCACTAACCCTCTGGGTCTCTTGATCGGCCTGAACAACAAGGGTTTGTCAGATTGTGATTCTGTCAGAAGCCCTACTTCTCCGTTGGAGTTTAGGGTATGCTCAAACGTGTCTGAGCTCTTCGTTAGATCTCCGAGATCATCGTTGCAGAATGGTCATCTCTGGAACTTCTTGGGACCTGCTAAAGTTGGGTTAAGCATTGTGGATTCTCTAGACGATGATCGATGCCTCTCCCGTGATGTCGTTTTCGGACCTGCGATGAGGGTGAAGTCCTGCAAGAATCAGGACAAAAGCCCTGAGTTCCTGCAGGAACCCAAGTCTTTGCCTGAAGGTTTCCCAGTTTTTCCAATAGCCCAGAAAATCAAGAGTGCAGCTTCTGGTATTGTTTTCGAAATCGGAGATGACCCTTTTGAGCCTGATCCGAGAGGGTTGAAGAACCGATCTTTTTCGCTGGGTTCTTGCAGGTCTTTCTCAACAGGATCTAATTTATCATTGAACGGAAGAACCAAATCGAGTTCTGAAAGTGATTCCCTGAAGAAAACCCGAGTTCTGTCCCGTTCCAAGTTGGGTGGAGAATGCAACAACTCTGGTCTGGATACAGGATTCCTTGGTTCGCCTTCTGCAAGTGACATTGAACTGTCAGAAGATTACACTTGTATCATTTCACATGGTCCTAACCCGAAAACTACTCATATTTATGGTGACCGAGTTTTAGAGTGTCACAGCCTCTGCGATGATAAAGAGAAGCACATTCCAACAGAGTCGGAGGCCATGTTTCCATCTGATGACTTCTTGAGCTTCTGTTACTTCTGCAACAAGAAACTAGAAGAAGGGGAAGACATATACATGTACAGGTTCGTTTCTTAGTTTCTTACAACACACATACAACAACTGCAGAGGGAAAAGTTGAAAACTTTGCTGAAATCTTAGCGTTTTTTTCTTCTTTTGCAGAGGAGAGAGGGCGTTTTGCAGCACTGAGTGCCGTACAGAGGAGATGCTGATGGAGGAGGAGGAGGACATGGACACCATGAACGAATCTCCAAGGAACCTCTGAGCAAAGGACAAGAGCCAAGCCACATAACACTTACAAAAAGGGCCGATCCTTTTCTACATCAAGCTTTTGGTATGTCGAAATCTCATAACACATGAACCGTTCGTCCGTTTACATAAAGAGCTGTGTTTATATGCAGCAGCCACGGATGATTAGGGTTTCTTTCTTTCTTTCTTTTTTGTGTAAATTTTTTGACATTAGGATCTGAAAATGAAAATGGTGTTTTCATCATGAGACTGAAAATAAGAGTTTTTGACTAGTTTCAAAAGGGTTGATTTGATATTTTTCCTTTGGATCGGTCTCTTTTTTGTTGTTTACTGTGCCTTTATGGTCTGAGTTTGTAAGCTAATTATTGATATCAAATAAGAGAGATTTTCATTGAAACTGGTGTCCGGTTTTGTGGGTTTGGTTATTTGTAGTGTCAATTGTGGTCCAAAGTGATCCAAATCCATCCGTAAAATATCAAATTTTAAATCTAAAATTTTCGATCCGAAAAAAATTCAGACTTTCTTGGTTATTTCGATTTGGTTGTATAGATCGAAGAATTCGAAGTGACCCGAATCCGAATTCGAATTCTTCGAACCGAATGCAGGCTCGGATCGAGTCGGTCCGGCCCGTTTGGCACCGCTGGTTATTTGGTATTCAGTATTGTTGAACCGTAAAGAAACCATTCTGAAAACCAGATCTACTCGCATTACTTCAAATTAATATGGTTTTGTAGTTTTAATAGCATTCGATTCACTTTTGGATCCATAAAACAAATTGAACTAAATGGCAATAAATCTCATATATAAAAAAAAAAACAAACGGTCATGATATTATTAAAGAATTTGAATTTGAGTTAAATCTGAATATATAAAAAAAAATTGTAAAGCGTTATAGGGAAATAAACAATTTTATCGTTAAAAACGAGTTCAATTGAAACAGAATCAAATATAAGTATATAAATTTTTTAAAACTAAAAAATCGAATCCGAATAAAACTAAACCGAACCGAAAACCGAAATTGTCATTGTTTGTTAACCCCGACAGCATATGAACAGGCTGATTCAATAAAATACATAGATTTATTCCTTGGTTACCACCAGTATCCCCACATTACATATATGCAGCAGGCCAAGGCTTACAGCTTTCAACAAAGAAGATGGAGATTAGTCTATACATTTGAATTTGATCAAGAAAGGACAAGCAAGGCAAGGTTTACAGAGTAACAGAGGATGCCGCTAGAAGATAGAAACCTCCAGTTCTCCCCGAAGCAATCAGGTAACTTCAATCTGCTATTTCCGATCAAATGTTGCAGTCTAAGCTTCTGTATAAGGGATGAAGGAGACCGTGTGGATCTGAAACCACTGGACTTTGATTATTAGGATCATCGTGTCTGTGTTGAGGGTGAGATTGAGCATACGATGTGTAGAGTTTCACTGACATGATTCTGTGTTCTTCATATCTCATCCAAACGGGTTTCCTCTTGAATGATAGGGACTTGGGTTCGCAGAAGGGTATCCGCTGCTTGCGGAGTTGAAAGCGTTTCCTTCGGTATTCAGACCATCAATGGCATGCCTCCTGCACAGTGCACACACACATTCATCATTATGTCACAAAAATACACGACGAAGACGCTAGAGTTTCGGGAGCCATGTATCCATTCTTGAACCTTAAAGCTGAAAGCAAGAGTATTGGATATGAAGAAGATTACCTGGGAGACAGCAACATATTCATGTGTGTTTGCTGTGCCATGTATGCACCTTGTCCATCCACCATGGTCAAAACTCTTAGAGCGAAGAAGATTAACCAAAAAAACTGAAAATGTTGATAATAATGCAGAACATGATCTCACCAGGGGAGAGAGTGGATGCAAATGATGGAGACCTCGGAGATAACACAGCTGCATAAGAAGGCGAGTGTGGAGCCATTGATCCCAGAGAACCTGCAACTGGGCTCTGAGTATTCAAAAACCCTCTTGGAGCTGATACATGAGGTAGGGCTCCATGCGTGAATGCCATAGAAGGAAACTACACAGCGAAGAAAACAAAAAATGGGGAAAGGAACATCAAATCCAGAAGTTTCACCATTTCACTCGATGCTGCTGCAGAAGCTTAAAGCACATAACAAGTAGGTTCCCTGCAACTACAGTTCTTATGCATTTTGAAATATTCAATGCTTTTACTGGCCCAGCTCAGATACACAGTATGGTGGGAATTCTCTTCTCTGAGCCATTTCTGTTAAAACAGAAGTTTTCATGGCAGAAAACAGGTATGTGGAATTCAGAAGTGGCCTAAATATGTCTAACAACTAAAAAGGGAAATAAACCACCGAAGCAAGAATCTGAAGTTAGGGTTCAGCTTTCTTACTTGTGGTGCACGCACTGGAGTCGTATCATTGTCAGCATCAAACGGGTTTGTCGGTTTTGATGTATAGTTATAGTTGTAGCCTCCCATTGTCTGGAAGGAAAAGATCATAAGTTAAGATCAACTGAAAGCATTTCTTGCATGTATTAGAACAATGGGTACACTTATTCAGGTGGATAGTATACCATTGGGTTTTGATAATAAGGCAAGCCAAATCCAATGCCATGAGGTAGACCTGGTTGCCAATTATGTACTTGTGGGGAGGCAAATGAGAAACCTCCAGTGAAAAGATCCTGCCAAACGGCTAGGTTCTTATTATGGAAGACCCAAAAAAAAAAACAAAAGAGGAAGAATTCAGAATACTAGAAGAAAAGGTTATTACTTCTGGAAGTTCCTTCCTTCCACTAGACTTTGCCTTCTCTTGATGAAGCTCAGATCCAACTCGAGGGGATTGTCCTTGAGCAGGAGTTGAGATTGATAGGGTCAACTGTTGCATAGAAGTAGTTGATGGCCCTTCAAAGTCGGGTGAGTTTGGTGCCACTCGTGGCTGCAAATACCCCAGTGGATGGCAAAGAAGCCGAGGTAAGCGTTTACTTTTATTAACCATCAGATCGTGAGTTATCGACTCACTGGACCTCAGAACAATGATATGATCTTATTATCAACTTTTTATATGTGAAACAGAACTATCTCAGGTACCAACCTGGTCAGTTCCGGCATTCTCTTTTGTATATAAGTTGTCGGCAACAGCATTTGAAGGCTGAGCTGGCACATTGGGAGGTGATGCGGCAAAAGAATCAATGTTTTCTTGTGTTGCTGACATCTGGTTTTCAAGGCTAGCTGCAGAATGTTTGCTTACAGGTGCAGTTGAGAAAGAATCAGTTTTGCTACATAGTTCAGAGTTCTTGTCAGCTGAAGGAACAGAGAGACCAAATAGCAAAGCCTCCAAAGAATTAGGATCTGGACCCTGATTTGGTTTTTGAGAAGCAGGGATTTCACTTGAAGCCTGATTGTCACTGGCAGTGGATTGGAGTATTTGCTGGTTCACCTGGGTTGATGTTTGATCAGATGGCTGTGAATCCATTAAGTTTTCTGGGTTTTCCGTTTTCTGCTCCACCCTGTTCTTGTGGGATGATTTCTGAAATAGTAAGGCCTATGGTCATTAGTGTGTGTAAATGCATCTAACGAAATGCAAGGCGGATCAAATCAAGGCTAAATGCAAGATCATATGGTTTGGAACTGTATTTTTTTCTTGCAAGATCTCCGATTATGGAAATTCAATCAACTCCTTGCGGAACTACATAGAGATAAGATTTCACGTAAACTATGTTCGGATCATTTTTTCCATGTTTCTCTTTTCGTAGAACATCTTCATGGAAATCTGTATTTTGGATACATCTAAATGTATTGGGTTTCATCCTGTATAAAACCTTTTTTTTAATATAATTTACATTTCATTAAACAATAAAGGGCGGATCAAAGAATCAGACATATGAAAGCAGAATCATCAATGAGATCTCATTCTTGTGGCAAGGAAACAACCTAAGTGATGCAAGAAAAGATGTCCTACACATTACCTGGTTTGGCTTGGGGTCATCAACTGTATCCTTCCTTACCTGCAATTGAGGAGCTTTATCCCCTAAGACTTCTCCGATAGGCCGTGCAACTGGAGAGCTCAACCTGTCAGTTTTACTCGAGAGATCGAGCGACTTGGAATGTTGTCCCCTTGCCGAGTTACGACCATCATATCGCTTAACACCTCCTCCGTCATCTCTAAACCTGTCATCAACAATCTCGAAGTGGATAGGACTCTTTGGTAAACCTCTACCACTAGCCCTTGAGTGATGCCTTATATGCCCTGTATTTCTCTTTTCATCGATGTTAAACTTGAGAGATCCATCACCATTTTTTCCATCCGCTTTCGCTCTTTCGTAGCTCATCCTTTCAGTTTCATCAGAACATTCTTTGTCAGCCTGCATGGAGGCACCATAAGTTTGCAAAAGCTGTAAAACCATTTTTACCCAGTAATACATAATGATCAAAGGGAGGAATGCACCCAAATAAGATCATTTAACTTCGTCCAAGAAAAAGCAAAAATATTTCTTCTTTTTTTACTTTTTTTATATAAAATATAACTAGGAATCGATGTACTTAGTTAAAATGAACTAATGAAGCACTGGCAATGAAAATGTATCTGTAGTGCCCTGAGATAGGGAAAGCAGTTTACTGTTCTCAGCCTCAAAGCCTTTTCATTGCTCTCGCTACTGTATTTTCTGTCCACATACACATTCTTGATGAATTCTCGAAGCCTGTAGAAGAGGACACATACAAAGATAAGGCTGACTAAGAGTTTGTTACTAATAACATTAACACTAACTAATAAACGCCAAAAAAAAAACCTGCCATCGGGACAAGCATTACGCTGAGAATCCCATTCTTTGAAATAAATTTGTCTGGCTCTCTGCAAAAAAGGACACAAAATCTAAGTCTGGAATTTTATGCAGGAGATGATTAATAAGAAGGCAGATGAACTAATCATGTTTGTTTTAAACAGCAAACAAACCTCATTTCCTCCGGCCTGAAGAGCGGCACTGAGTGCCGTACAGAGGAGATGCTGATGGAGGAGGAGGAGGACATGGACACCATGAACGAATCTCCAAGGAACCTCTGAGCAAAGGACAAGAGCCAAGCCACATAACACTTACAAAAAGGGCCGATCCTTTTCTACATCAAGCTTTTGGTATGTCGAAATCTCATAACACATGAACCGTTCGTCCGTTTACATAAAGAGCTGTGTTTATATGCAGCAGCCACGGATGATTAGGGTTTCTTTCTTTCTTTCTTTTTTGTGTAAATTTTTTGACATTAGGATCTGAAAATGAAAATGGTGTTTTCATCATGAGACTGAAAATAAGAGTTTTTGACTAGTTTCAAAAGGGTTGATTTGATATTTTTCCTTTGGATCGGTCTCTTTTTTGTTGTTTACTGTGCCTTTATGGTCTGAGTTTGTAAGCTAATTATTGATATCAAATAAGAGAGATTTTCATTGAAACTGGTGTCCGGTTCTCGGCTGGAGTAGTTTTTGACCCACATACACAACAAGAGAGAAGGAGGGTCTTATCTATGCGATGTTAATAGGTAAGTGAAATTTTCACAGCTTTGTTTTACACTGATTATGAGTATGTGAGAGCAGAAACGACTTACTGGATTCCGCTACAGTTTGTGCAGACAAAAGTCCAGAAGGTTGTGCACACATATTGTGGACCCTGCAGGACGGGGGAGAGACATTAAACTACAAAAAAAAAAAAGTATAATTCTGCAAGAAAGCATGTCAATTCTTTTCATTCACTAGCAAGATATCTCGATCTGAAAGCTGGTTGTTGTTGTTGTTGCTGCTACCGCTCCATCATTCATTCCTAGAAATTAAGTTCTTTCTATAATGGTTTAGCCAACAAGCTTTTTATGAACTATTCAGAGATTTGAACTTCTGACAACTCCACAATTGATGGAGTGATTATTCAAGGCGACGAAAGGCGGAACGAAATGACTGCAGAAACAAATATTCTGCCGGATCACAGGTTTAAGTACCAGACTGTTGCAATTGATGCATCTTCGATTCTCGGGAAGCTTTAGGAGGCTCCTTATAGCCCTTTCTGTCCTCTCTTCCTCCTTCATTTTGCTACCCTTTCTTGAAAACATTGCTTCCTCGACCAAGAGGGTTTATAATTTCATATATTGTTCTGAAAGAGCAAATGCCAATGCGCATCCAGTCATCTGGGAAACAAACAGAAAAAGAAAAGGGACAATGTCTTATGCCATCCAAGACACCAATCTCAAAACAAAAGGTGATTCACATTGTTAGTTCCAGTTTCTGGCTGGCTGATATAAGATGAAAAAGATTATGTTACCAATGAAAATAAACCAAATCTTTAATCGTTTTTTTCTATTTCAATCATGTTTGTTCGCCTTCCTGAATTTCTGAGGATAAAGTTGCTACGTCCCCAGAAAGTTTCCAGAATTTCTGAAAACTCCAGCAACCCATTATAAGGCGTAATCCGAATTACACTTTCCCTTCTCAAATTTTCAAATTCGGGCCGTACATCAACGAAGGGCTCCAAAGCCCCTCGTGGGCATTTCGTGTGTTACACATTCATGGAAACAGAGGGAATTGGAAAAAAGGAAGAGGAGAGAAGAGAAGAGAAGAGAAGGGTATATTACCAGACAATGTGGGGACTCTTTTCGATGAATCGATGAAGCACTAGAACGGAGAACCCCAACAGAAAAAAAAGATGGAACGGGAAAGGGAAGGGACCTCTTGTAGGCTGCCCATGAATCAGAAAGAGGGAGAGATGGGGGGGCCAGCGAAGGAAGGAGATTTTCTCCGAGAAAAATGGTGACCCGAACGGTTTCCCGCCATTAACCTCTCTCTCTCTCTCTCTCTCTCTCTCATCGTTCTACTGGAAAACAAATCGTACGGAGCAACAGCTCCGTCGATATTTTCCGGCGTCGCTAGTGAATAGGTCCGGTGATAGTGCAGACGCTAAAAACTTTGAAACGCAAACGCTTTTTTGGACCCTCCCATTGCTTATTAAATACGTATGATTATAAAATTACCAAAATCCAAATGTATGTATATATATATTATCTAAATTTAGTATATATTTATATATATATATTCATTAAATGCGAGTAAAATTCAAAAGTTCCAAACGATCATCTATTTTTATCAAAATCTATATATATAAAAAGTTGGATTTGGAGTTCGTCTGCGTTCACATTTGGGGTTCTAATTGACCGTTTAAAAGGTTTGGGATCAAAGTATAATTTAAAATTATGTTGTGGGGTAACATAGACATATAATATGTTAGGTACTAGATTGTAATTTATGATTTTACGTGTCCCCATATAAATCTCTTGCGTTACCGCTTCTTGTCTTGTAGCCCTATTGCTGTGAACCTTCGCCACAACCCATTTCTCATCCTCACAGGCATAGGAAAAAAAAAACCCTAATTTTACGAACGAGGAAATTTTATTAGGAATTGCTCGCGAAGCTTCATAGGGCTTCTCTTGTTTCTCTTCTTGTTCCCCGGTGGATTTGGCGTTTCTCGCCTTTAACCCTAAGATTTCCTGCTCATCGATTTTTTGTAGAAAGTGACGCCGATCGTGGATTTGTTGCTTTGTTTTGTTGTCTTGCTCGATAATCAGTGTTTTGTTTAGGCCATTTATATAAATTTAGGTGCTGTTTGTTCAGGGGTAATCGGGAATTTTGTTTCTGGGTTTCTCCAAAGACGTCGCATTTGTCCTTGATCTTGGCTGTTGTTGTTGTTCTCTGAATCGGGTTGTTTGAGAGGAAAGATGGTTGGAGGGGGAAACAGGAGAGACGAAGGATCGATGGCAATTCAGAGCACGAACTTGTTTGCCGCTTTGGACACACTAAGGAAGAAGAAGAAGTCGGACAAGGCGAGTAAGAGCAAAGGTTCTTCCAAGTCGTCATCGCGGCAGGAGCCGCAGAAGGAGCCTCAGCCTCAGGTCTTCTGGGCTCCCACGCCGCTGAAAGCAAAGTCGTGGGCTGATGTGGACGACGAAGATGACGACGATGACTATTATGCCACCGCTGCTCCGCCTCAGTCTGTCTGGGGCACTTCTCAGCCGTCTCATTCGGATGAAAAAACCAGCCATGTGGAGATCAGTAACGTAATTGCTTATGTTCTTGCTTGTGTTTCTCTCTGCTTGTCGTGTTCATATGTGTGTGTAAACATGAATGATTTTACCTTGATGATCACGACATGTTTTATGCCTCGCATCGTGGGTGGGGCATTTGATTTGTTGTTGGCGCGTTTTTGTTGTGCTGAATGTTAGGCATTGTATCTGATTTGAGTTTTGTCGGACAAGAACTTGTTACTTAGATTTTTGCAGTATGCTACTGTGATTGATGTGCTAACATTCATGTGGTTTGTAATCTATTTCTGAACTGTTCTCATTGCCGCTGTTGTATGGCATGATGATGACTTGACAATTTATAGATTTAGTTTATGGGTTGCCTTTTAGTTATTAGTTGTTTCATGCTGTTTTCATCATGTTAACATTCAGTGTGCATATTGGGTTGTTATATTGTCTGAAAAGAAACTGAACCAGCTTTTGAGTTGGCTTCTTTCTTGCCTGAAAGCTTCGGCACAAACGTTTTGTTAGCATGTGAGGGTGAAGCCGCTTATAGTTGATGATGTTAGTCTGATCGGGTATTTTTTTTATATTGAGAAAGGATGAGCTTACAGATTCGGTAGATTATGTTTTGTTTCACAATGTGCACTAGAGGTGGATATTCTTAAAGCCATTGGCCAAATGCATCATGAATTACATCTTTATTAAACTTTGTTTGGATATGTGCAAGGATGGGGCACTTTTCTTTTGTTGAGGATGCATTAGTGTTGGTTTAGTTGGGTTGATCCTGTTTAAGGTAAAGAATTTCTTCAGGGTTAAAATGAGATGTGTTTTTTTCCTCTGAAAATGACAGGAAAGTGAAAGTGAAGAAGATATTCTAGATGAAGGGGACGATGATGTGGAGGAAGAGCATGAACAGGAGGAAGAACAAGTGCACCCAGAGCCAGAACCTGTGGTGAAGAATGCTCCCGAAGTTCCTGCTCCCCCCAAGGAAGCAGAGAGGCAACTTTCCAAGAAGGAGAGAAAGAAGAAGGAACTTGCAGAGCTTGAGGCTTTGTTGGCTGATTTTGGAGTTGCCCCCAAGGAGAGTGATGGCCAAGATGACTCTCAAGGTAAAAACCTTTTTCGACTGGGTCGAATCTGTTTTGCTCGATGGTGGATTGTCAAAAAGGAAACATGTCATTCTTCCTTTGCTTTGTTGTCTGTCTGAGAATATTGGGCTAGTGTTGTATGTGTCTTGCAAATCTCGGAGGATATGACGCAAAACCAAAAGGAATGGAAAAGAAGAATTCATGCGGCCGACCCCAAATAAACTTGGGATGTTGTTGTTGTTGTTGTTGTTGTTGTTGTTGTATCTGTCTAGCTTTTGCTAATGCTGATACTTAAAAGTGTATACTGAGAAATACCTTGTGATTCTGTCCATAGAGACAAAACAAGAAAAGAAAGGAGACGAAGAGGGAGAGAAGAAGGAGAATGAGTCAAAGGTTTCGAAGAAGAAGAAGAAGAAGGAGAAAAGCAAGGAGGCAAAAGAATCTCAGGAACAAGCCGAAGATAACACTGAGGGTGCCATCGGAGGCGGAGCAGGAACAGAAGAGGAGGCATCTTCCATGGATGTGAAAGAAAGGCTAAAGAAGATGGCTTCAATGAAGAAGAAGAAATCGAGCAAAGAGATGGATGGAGCTGCCAAAGCTGCGGCACAGGAGGCAGCCGCAAGGCGTGCGAAGGTGGCTGCCGCTGCGAAGAAGAAGGAGAAGAACCATTACAACCAGCAGCCTCTGCGGTGATTTTGGAAATACAGAATACGAATCTGTGTTTTCGCCACCCGTCCGTTTGTTCATACGAGACGTTGCTGAATAAAATCTGGAGATCTGTTTTGTTTTAGACGTTTATCACCATGGACATGCAAAGGTTGGAACTACTAATGCCCGTCTCTCGTTTTTGCTGTTCCTTTTGTAAGACTCTGACTGAAATGGCAGATTGCAGTGGACATTGATCTCTCAACGCTGTATCCTTCTTCTTCAATCCGGGTTTCTGGTTTACGGTTTTTGACAGAGCTTCAGGAGGGAGACGTCCATGGCTTCTCTTCTTCTGTTGCATGTTTTGGTCTTTAGGTAAATAACATGTATTTGTCTTGTAGAAAGAAAGA